TGGAGGGGGTGGGAATGATCCTTGCTGTAAAGATTTGTTTCCTCTTTTGAGTTACTGCATCCATAGGTATAGGTCAAATTCATCAAATTGTATCAGATTCCTCTTATTTTCCTCTTCGTTCTTCTAGTTGAGCTCTGATCATCCAGTTATTGAAGCCAGGCCGAGTGGGTATTATCTGCAAGTGTGGGTGTTCTTATGCATATACCCTCTCTTCTTATCAGCTGGACACTTACTCTCCACTCTAGTCCTCTGTGGCTATGTCACTGACTCTGGGCCCAAGAGTCCCCAGGTCTTGCCACACTGCTGGCCAACCAGATCTCTTACCTGGGTTCACAGGAGTCTATTGAACATTGTAGGGCTTAGCTGGCAGCTTCATAGCTATTTTTCCCTCACTTCCCCTTATCGGTGAGCTAAGCAGTTTTAACCCACCAGCTACTCTGCAGGAGAAAGATGTGGCAATCTGCTTCCATAAAACTTTATAACCTTGGAAACCCTATGATTCTACTCAATAATATTCATAATGTATATACTCTATACATTATGAGTTGAAATCTACTCAAGGACAGTGGGTTTGGTTTTGACTTATTTTAAAAATCACTCATTTGATTAAAGAACTTACCTTTTAAAAAAATGTTCACATTTATTCATCTGCTAAACCCAATCAAGGATTACATTAAACTATATTTAAGGCAAAATAAAATAATAAGCAAAATAAAATAAGTAAAACTATATTTATTTAAGGCAAAATAAAATAATAAGCAGAAATAATTACCCATATAACTCAAGACCCAATGGCATTCTTGAAGAATAAAATAAATTATAGGGGTTGTATTACACAATCTAATGAATTATTTCCAAAAGGAGGAGCTTAGAACACTTATAATAATATTCCAAAATTGTCTGTACTTTGGAAGTATTTCAATTTTTAGGTCTGTGACATAAATTTTGGTCATAACCCGACTCATTGCATAGCTATTTGACTAAGGCAGAAGCATTTCCTACCTTGGGCTGCAGCGCAAACCACTCATCACTTGTATTTTCAAAGTTCCATGAGTCAAAAGGAATCTCCACTTCCCCAAGGAAGCTGTTACGTCCAAATCGATCATAGTGCCAGACTGATAGTTGTAAAGTCCTTGTTTCCAACTGAGTATGGCTGATGGTATACTGCAAATGAGATTTACAACATTACAATTCACAAGGTGGACTCTGTCCAATTCCAGGACATGTTTGAATTTACTTCTACCATCTTTTAGATCAAATTAATCAGTAATACGAATAAAACAAAGGCAACAAAATACTTACTTTTTCCGTGTTTCCCCTTACAATGAATTCCCCATAAACTCATTTTGTGCCAGACCTAGCACTGAAAGATATCTAAACAAATCACTTAAGGGGCTGGTTATAAACTCCAGATATTACGTAAAAGATGTTAAGTGATCAATCCTTGTTCCACTTTTACTTGTTTTTCATTAGCCTAGTTATTTTGTCAACATATACTTTCTAAGCTCAAGATTTAGCATACCAATTCTTCAGCGTCTCCATCTTCTTTTATTCATAATAAGAATCCAAAAGGCCAGAAAAATATTGAAAATGAGAAATTTGCAACTATCAAGCTTCATAAAGCCTAGCCTACATCGTTAAGTGCAGAGGAGGAAAGACACATGTGAAGAAAGAACAGAAAGAGGTATTATTTGAGTAACTATTCCTTTTCTAGCAGACTATTATTCAGGGCTACATGCCTGCACACTATCAAACCTCCAGTTTGTTCTACACAAACACCATCTGGGGTATACTTCAGACCGACTGATTCCTGATCATGTATTTTTATCTATACTTGTTCTTACTCTTCTTGTCATTTGGCCTTGGTTCCCTAGTTTTTAAATTTGCCGTCAGTGTATTTCTCTGTACTGGTTGAAATCCTTGTTATTCTGTGATGGTCATTGGATTGACTCCCTGCCTTCATTCGTTCATTCTCAGTTTTATCTGTTTTGATGTGAGTTACTAATTGCACATATACTTCTGTCTGCCCCCATATGAATGCTCACAGCTTTCTGTCCTCACCAATTTCCTGCCATGATAGACTCTGATGCTATTGTCTTGGCACAGGATGCAAAACCAAGTCCTTTGTCATCAAATTGACTCTAACTCATGGTGACCACATATGTTACAGAATAAAACTGCTCCATAGTTTCCATGGCTGTAATTTTATGGGAGCAGATTGCCAGGCCTTGCTCTCATGGCACCACTGGGTTGGTTTGAACTTCCAACCTTTTAGATTAGCAGATGAGCACAAATCATTTGCATCACCCAGGAACCTTATCACTCTGGTACAAAGTCCATAAATATTTCTGAGATTTGCAATCCAATCTACATTCTAGCTCCCTGAATCTTTCTTTCTTTCTTTCTTTTTTTTGTAAAAAGTTTTTATTGTGAATTGAGTGATAGTTTACATGGGAGAACATTGCTTTTACACGCATCATTTCATTTTAATGATTACAGTCTCCTCCATTCATCGTCATTCAACGGTATTTTTGCTTCTATTCCCTTTGGTTTTGTTTGTTTCTTTGAGGTGGGGGGTGGTGGTGGTGGTACACAAAATCACTCAGGAGTATATAATCATTTAAACAACCCAAGGGCACCTTCTGGAATCCTGTTTCCTGGCCGCCAGCACACAGCCTTTCTCTTTCCATGAGTCTACAGTCCTCAGCTGCTCTCTCTCTCTCCATGTCCTCATATCTGCCTCCGTCCACTGGTGTCACTGCTTCTCTGGATACAGTCCTACATTCCGGTCCTGCTCTTCTCCCTTGATGGTTCCAGGGCCCTTTGTTCCTAGACTGTAAGATTAACTACTCTTCCCCTTTTTGTTACAAAACTTCTACCTTTACAGTTGTGACAGTTGCAATTAGCCATGATAACAATTACTATTGAATCATTAGAATCTTATCCCCATCTCTTTTCACCAGGCCCATCTAGACAAGATGAAAATTATTCAGTAAATATTCTACCTTCCCCTGTACACTCTGAAACTAAACTTCCCCTTGACAACTTGTAAGTCCCTAGATCTTTCTTATCAGGTAAGTTTGGTCCAGGATAAGGGAAGGAATTGGTTCATGGAAGCCCATGGGGAAAAGTAATTTCCTTTACGATTGCAGCTTGGGTTGTGTTTTATGTAGGCCACTTTCTCTGAGATTTCTCAAATATAACTTTGTATCTCCATTATTCATTAGCCATGTAGTCACATTCCGAAACCTATGAAGAAACAGTACATATCCATGTCATATTAACAGAACAATGAACGTGTACAAGGTGCCCCGCTAAGTTACTACCAGAACTGTGATGAAGGTCTTCTAAGGGGACTAGAAAAAATATAGTTTTCCCAAAGGTAACATACTTTTTGATGAGATGTATTAAACCTGATGAAATTTTGTTGTCTCATCTTCACTTGAGGTGCAACTTCAGCAACAGTAGAAAAATGAAAGTGATTTGCATGTTTTTTGTTTCCAAGCACTAATAGAAAAGCCAATGACATTATAAAAATGTATTCAGTCTATAGCTTTCCAATGCATTTGTAAGCGTTGGCATGCAAATAAAAGATTCTCTGTAGTTGGTTTTTAAAACTGAGGTTGTGAATGGTATCACATATTTGGTTTGAGCTACTATGCTGTTGTTGTTGTTGTTGTTAGGAGCCATCGAATCGGTACCGACTCATAGCGACCCTATGCACAACAGAATGAAACACAGCCTGGTCCTGGGCAAACCTCACAATTGTTGCCATGCGTGAGCCCATTGATGCTGCCACTTTGCCAAACTATCTTGCTGGGAGTATTCCTCTTTTTCTCTGACCCTCCACATTACCAAACATGATATCCCACTCCAGTGACTGGTCCCTCCTGACAATATGTCTGAAATGTGAGAGATAAAGACTGGCCCATCCTGGTCTCCAAGGAGCACTCTGACTGCACTTCTTCCAGCACAGATCTGGTTGTTCTTTTTGCAGCCCATGGTACTTTCAATATTCTCCTCCAACTCAAATGCATCAATTCTTCTATGATCTTCCTTACCGAGCTACTATGAGAAAGTATTTATTTACCTTTAAGGTTTCATTGAATTCTGGATTAGTGCCTGTTCTGATTTTGGTCTTGCGCTTATTGTTTCGGGACTTGTCAGGAAGAAGGTATGACTTGACATACCTGCAGATAATAAAAGAAGTACTGATTATTTGGAAATAACTACTTTGCAAGAAATGCTAAGGGCTTTCAATAAATAAAAGAGGTAATGGTTGCTAAGTATAAGAGACAGGGATAAAAATAATATAGTCTAATAAGAGAGAAGCAGTAAAGTGTAATGGCAAATAGGATTGTTGTTGTTGTTGTTATGTGCCGTGTAGTAGTCGATAACGACTCATAGTGACCCTGTACAGGGTTTCTGAGTCTGTAAATCTTTATGGGAGCAGAAAGCCTCATCTGTCTCCTGTGGAACAGCTGGTAGTTTCGAACTGCTGATCATAAGACTAGCAGCCCGATTCGTAACCACTACACTACCAGAGCTCCTTTAAAGAGGGTTAGCTATGGAATTAAGCCAATCGAGTTTGAATCACTCTGTGACACTTATTTTAATGGCTTCAACATCTTGTCTTCTTTGTGCCTCAACTTACTCATCAAAATCACTCAGGGATATGTAATCATTTAAACAACCAAACAGCACATTCTGCAAGCCTCCCTCCTGACTGCCAACACACAGCCATTCTCTTTCCATGAGTCTGGAGTCTGAGATGCTCTATCTCTCCATGTCACATCTCTGTCACCATCTCTGGTGTCACTGCTTTTCTGGATAGGGTCCCACATTCCGCTCATCCTCTTATTCCTTGAAGTGCTAACTGTTTTTGTAAAACATTTTTTACTGTGAATTGGGTGAAGGTTTACAGAGCAGACCACCAGTTTTACATTTTACAAATTACACACTTCATTTCATCTCGATGATTATAGTCCTCTCAATGTAATATCAGTTATCCCACTTCCTCCCTGTATTTCCTGTTTTCATTCCTACTTCTGCCCGAATCCTTTTTAATTTTGCCCTTTGGTAACTGCTGCTCTTTGATCTCGAATGTTTGTCCATTCTGTTGTGTGCATACCTTACTAGTGTTGCTGTTCCCCTTATGGTAGTGGTGGTGATTGTGTGCCATGGAGTCGGTTCCCACTCATAGCTACCCTGTACAGGGTTTCCAAGGCTGTAAATCTTTACATGAGCAGAAAGCTAAAAATTGAGTCATAGGGATGAGTTCAACTTCAGATCTGAAGAGTGATCAAGGACCACCAGTTTCTGACCAGTATACCTGGTCTTTTCTTTTTTTAAAATAAATGTTTTATTGTGAATTATGTGATAGTTTACATGGGAGACCATAGGTTTTACATTCATTCTGTCATATATCGTTTCATTGCC